CGCCCCCTGCGCCCTTGACTCAGCCCTGGTCAGGACAGCGGCGCGGGCAGGAGGGTCTCCGTCGCTCAGGCCTAGGCCAGCAACCTGAGGCTGGAGGTCAGGGAAGGCGTCAGGGTAGGGAGATTTCTGGCACGGGACGAGCCTTAAAGTAAGTATTAATTTAACGACAACGATGAGCAGGCTAGTGAGCTGCACACATGGCAATAATTAGCTTGTCCTGCAGAGGGAGGCACTGAGGCTCACAGATGTCCGCGTCTTCGACCTTGGGTCCCTCATCTGGGGCCCCCTGGTCCAGTCAGGGGGTACAGAGGGTGCACTCTCCGTCTCTATGCTGGACAAAGGAGCTGTGGCAGTGACAAGGGTCAAGGCTGCCTCTCAGGATTTATCTAGGGCTGGGTAAACTGAGGCACAAATGTTTTGCCTCCATCCTGGTAGCCTGCCGTGGAGTTAATGTAATCACGCTGGTACGCTCACACTCACCTATGCCTGCACACACTCTTCCGCGGGGACCTCCCCCGCTCACACAGCACTTGCTTGAGCACGACCACATTTGTGCACGTCCTCCTGCGTTTGCATACCCGCGCCGGCTCCCTTGGCCACCCCTGCCGGGCCCATGGTGTCTGAGGCACACACTTGAGCATACACCACCTCCCGTCCTCCTGTCACTGGAGGTGGCACCGTAGGATGACAGATTTGAAGCAAGGGACAGGGTGGGCTGGAGGCTTCTTGCAGGACTGGAGCTGGGCGGCCAGGGTGGGCGGCCCCTGGCAGGTAGAGTCTGAAGGGAGGTGGCCTGGGCCTGGCCCTGGTGTGGGCAGACCTGGGAGTGGGTGGGGACTCTGCTCACGAGAGCGGGTTGGCCTTGGGCAAGGCGCTTCACGTGCGAGGCCTCAGCTGTTAACTGCAGGTAAAAAAAAAAAAATCACCTGATGAAGTTGCGGTGAGGGCTAACGAAATAATATAGGTAAAAAATTGTAACAACTATTTCCAGCATTTACCTAGAGATGATTCAAAGTATAGAAGGTGTGGAGTGCAAGAAACGCTGCACCGTTTTATGTAAAGGCCTGAAACATCTGAAGATTTTGATATCTTTGGATGATGGGGGGCTCATGGATTCTGAGGTGGGACTCAGGTAGTTTGTTTTGTTTTGTTTTTTTGAGACAGGGTCTCTCTATGTAGTTCAGGTTGGCCTTGAACTCACTGTGTAGCTCAGCCTGGCCTTGAACTCGTGGCAACCCTCTGGTCTCAGCCTCCCGAGTGCTGGGATTACAGGCGTGCGCCACAGTGCCTGGCTCAAGGGGGACTGTAAGAGTGACAGCAGCGCAAGTCTGTTCTGCTGTTACTTCGCCCAGCTTGCTACACCCAGGGGAGGTGGACGCCCTCACTTAAGGACATGTGTGAGGTACCCGACTGTGTACCAGTGGGAAGGACCCACAAGCGCCTGTTTCCGAGTGTCAGGTGCAGCTGTGGACCCGGCTGAGGAGGCAGAAGTGTCCTTTTTCTCATTCCCAGCGCAGAGCGGCTGATCTGGCCGGAGGAAGGGCTCTGACTCACCGTGATGCAGGACACTCCATCACAGCTGCTGATGCTTCCGCTGGCAGCCTGACAGCTCTGGGCACAGGGGACAGAAGGGGACCTCTGAAGAGAGGACAGGCAGCTCACAGTGGGAGGGGGTGGCTGGGGACCCCACTGTGGCCCCCCGAAGGCTGAAGCAGGAAGAGGACAGGGCTGAGGGCTGGGTCAGGAAGAGGGGTGGAGCTGCAGCGGCAGGGTGCTTCCCTTTGGCGCCTCCAGCCTCTGGGGCGTATTTGGGTCAGGTCCACGCCGGTGCTCAGAGAGAGGCAGAGGTTTGCCAAGGTCACACAGCAAATCAATGGCAGAACGAGGACTAGAACCCAGGCCTTCTGCCTGTCAGCCCAGCCCTGGCACCGGCCCGAGCCTGGGCCCTGCAGAGGGAGGCTCTCCCTCCTCCCGGAGCAGGCTGCCCTCCCCCGGCTCACCCTGTCTGCCCACGACCTTCCTCCACCCTCCCAGCGCCCTCCTGCCATGCAGCACGGGGAGCCAGTCCGCCCCACCTGGCTCCACATTCCCTCACCCTGTCTTGGGCTCCTGGGCAGCACCCCCTCCTGCAGCCGTCCCCTCTTGCTTCTGTTTGTTCGGGGTCACTTGGTGGTGCTGAGTGCCAGCCCTTCTCAGGGCACTGGAGCACCGAGAGGGACGCTGCAGGGCTTGGTTGGAGGAAGATTAGAGAAGGGGCCCCGAGCCATTGCACGGCAGGACGGATCAGGCCGGCTGGGACCAGGCGTCCTGGGGGCAGGGCGGGGGTGATCTGAGTGGCTCAGGGTCAAAGCTCAGGGGCCCCATCCCCTGCCCGCTGAGTGTGTGAGGACCGCTTCCACCGGGGGTCATGGGGACAGCCTCAAGGGGACGGCAACCCTCAAAGTGCACTTTGAAGGCCAGATGGGATGTTGGCAGGCAGAGGCTGTCTGTGCCTGAAGACAGGGAGTCAGAGACATCTCGGGGCACCCAGGACACTGGTGTCTGGGCACAGTGGACAGTTGCTGCCCTTCTCAGGCCTTCAGCATCCCCTAGGAAGGGCAGAGGCTGACGCACAAAGCAGCAGGGCCCGGGGCAGACCTGGGTTTGGATCCCGTGTTCGGGATGATGCGTAACAGGCTCTCAGTAGGTGTTGGCTGACTGCAGGAGAACCGGGCTTGCCCAAGGTCCCACATCCGGGAAGCGGTCCCAGCCAGGGCTGAGTCAACCTTACACTCACACAGCAGATACTCTCAGGGCGCTCGCTGACAGGTGCCAGGCACTGTCTGGTGCTGAGACGATGCGTGAATGAGGCAGGCAGGGGCGCTGCGCAAGGAATTTACAGTGCGGGGGGCGGGGAGCCTGGCGTTAATCTAGCAATGACCCGGGTTCCCTAAAACCACAGCCCAGAAGTGCTAGGGAGCCCTTAAAAGTGTCAGACAAACCTGCTGCTGGTCCTGGGTACAGGGGAGCCTCCCAGAGCATAACAAGGACCGAGCCTGCAGCAGGATGAGCAGGACTTGGCCAGGTGGGAAGAGGGTTGGGGCCTGGGCCGCTGGACAGAGTGAAGCTCAGGTGGAGTCCAGGGGTGGGAGGAGGGAGGGCCCCCCAGGGGAGAGAGCTTGGACTTTGTCACAAAGCAGCAGGCAGCCCGTCCTTTCCCCCTCTGCAAAATGCACTGCCATCTGTCACACTCTGTGGGGTGGGGGTCCCCTGTTTCTCTGTGACCTGGTTCTCCTGGGGCTGTTGGTGTCAGAGCTGGGGGCCTTTCCAGAAATCCCAAGAAAGAAGGCACAGGCTGACCTCAGAATGTGGCCACTCTCAGCTAGACCTGCAGGTGCCGCAGCTCCAGACAACCAGCTGGACCAGGTGGGGTGGGGAGAGAGAGACGAAGTCCTCCGGCTGACCGGGGAGGCAGATCGGCAGGCAGTGAGCTCCGAGTCTAAAGGAGGAGACACCTCCTGTGCCCGGTTCTGGGATGCAGGGACAGATCAATCCCTGACCTGGGAAGGCTCTGCCTGGGGAGCGGAGGGGGACACTGAGATGTCTCCAGAGTGGAGACTCTGAAGCTGGTTTCCTGCCTCTCAGGTGTCAGGATCTCCGGAAGTGGGAAGAGGCCCCTGCTGGAACCAAGGCAGAGGGGCAGAGGGGCAGAGGGGCGCCCCTGAGCTGACTGTGAGTGTCATGCCTCGGGTGGCCGCCATGGGGCAGCCTGAGACAGTGCCATCCTGCACTGCCTTCGTTCCCCTTCCTCCCTCAGCCAATCGACCCAGAAAGTACCACGCTGGCAGCTCAGACCTGGCCCGGGCTCGGGGCTATGCACGCCATGCCCCGCACAAGGGAGGCGGTGGAGGGGACCGACAGACACCATGCTAGATCGCTCCTGTGGGGTGATGTCTCCTCAGGATGGGACTCAGGTCTCAGCACCAAGAGGGCATCTTCCTGGAGCCAGGCCCCTCCACCCCAAGGGGAGGCCTTTTCTTGATTGGCACAGTCTCCTTAGAGGTTGGCAGCACTCCGGGACTCCACAGGGCCAGGTCCTGACTCCCACTGCACAGATGTCAGGAACAGAGCTGGGACCTGAACCCTTGCAGCCTACGGGATGCTGTGCTACCTCTGGAAACCAGGCCCTGCCTGGGCGTCC